ACCTGGCAATAGAACTTCTCAATAAATTGGTCTCATCTATTTCGGATTGCATGCTAGCGTAATGTAGTATTAGTATGTTAATATTCAAAAATAAAAAATCATGTGTTTTCTGAGACCGTGCGGTCTCGCAAATTTGTCAAGAAAAAATTTATTATCTGGTGCATATCCCACACGAAAAAATACAGATAAATATATAAAAAATAATCGGCCACCAGGGCACTTTATTGATATAGGAAAAAATAGCCGTTAAGGCGCTGTGTAAAATACATAAGCTAGAGTTTCTATGATAAATTTCGCTAAATTACATGATACGATGTTAATTATTATATAGTAGTGTGGAAACAGTTAGGCTTGAATAGACATTTCGAGGTGGATTTGAAATTGCTTATTCCAATGCTCACGCAAGTAAACTTTTATTCACAATTAGGATATTCTATTGCAATTATAGAATGTTAGCCGACTAATAATAAAACTAAAATAAAAAATAGGAAATGTCAAACATACCCTTAAGGTTAATAATAATCGTACAAGAGATTTGACACATTTTGGTGAATTGGAATCCAAAGGAATATCAGCATGATCAAGGTGAAAATACCTTGGAATTCCACTCGCATCATTCATCAGAACATTCAAATATATAGTCGTACCAGCAACCTGAATACCGACAATTCCAAATTGGTTACTAGTTGGCCTACATGCAATATTTACAAAACTCGTACCATCTAAGGTTTCTCTCCACAGCTTCACTTCGTCATTTGCTTTTTTTGTAGTACTACATACAATACGTGAACATTCAACATATGTAAGCTCAATTATTTTATCCACATATTGGTCTAGTACCATAATGTCAGGTTTCTTCCCCATACATTCTTTATCCGTCCCAGCATTTTTGCGAGCTTTACTTGCTAAACTCTGCTATTCAGCCGTGTTTAGGCAAATATGTCCGCTTGGTAAATTCCCTAATGTGGTTCGAAGTAGTGGTACTATTACATCTGTGATGTAGGTGCCTTCACTTTGCTTACTACGAGATTCACTGGTTGTAAATGCTGGGTTATTCCAAATTTCTGCACTAAATATAACTTATTAATGAATCTGTGATATAAAAACCATTACGAATTTATTAGGAAAATATGGAAGAACTTACAGTACACTAAGTATCCATTCCGTTCTTTTTTCCAAATCAGGACCAGTCTCTTTTCACGTTTTGTCATGTATGATATTGCTAAAATTATTAGGAGTGTACCCTGCGAAAATTATTTGTAAACTCCTCACACTTGGAAATAATTTCTTTAGGAAGTTCACATTTCATTCTCTCACGCGATTCCTAAAGAAATAAATAATCCCTTATAAAAGTCAAGATTATAGCGCCTCTGGCTATGTATTTACTGAAATATACTTACTAAAAAATGACGCTTCTGTCTTGTTTTCAAGTTTTGCACTAATGGAGATTCATCACTAAGAACTGTGCTCGCCTCTGAATCATGCCATGTAAGATCAGATTCGATACTTTCTAAATTTTTTTTGATGCTATCATAAAGAGATGCATCCGGCTCTGTTAATGGAGAACTAAGTTTTGATTTTAACGCCCTAATATTTTGATCTATTTCTTCTCGCGTATAATCTAGAGATGCTTCTTGAGGGGTATTTAGCACCTTTATCGCTTTTAAACCGACGATGTTTCTATATCTATTTTCCATCTACAGCAGATAGAATTCGCGCGAATAAATATATATGCCACTAAATATATGTCACTAAATATTGTATATGCCACTAAATTCCGCACATGTGCATGTAATCAGATACTAACAATCTCTATGAGCTTTATCGTTTGGCTAAATTGACCACGCACAGCCAGGGTGGAGCAGAAATCCTCGACATATAGAGGAATAAATATTCCTGAACACATCGCTCTTCCGGACTGGCATTCCCCGACCTTCAGCAACGGCCAACCAAATACAGCTCATTTATCTGCTGTAATTTCATCATTATATGCTAACAAATATCCATATAGTAAAAGATTATTACAAACCTGTGGTAAAATTTCTAACACCTTAGTCTTTCGCTCAAGATCATCTATTTTCATCAAAGATGAATTGACTGCCTGGTCGACTAACTCTCGTACTTTATTATATGGAAGTAAAACATTTTTTTCTATTGTTAAATAAACTACAGACGCCCCGCAAAGAACGTCTAATGAATCACATACTAAAAGTTCTTCTATCTTAGCTACTAAATTTGCCATAGTAAAAATTTGTCAGTATTTAGTAAAAATATTCTTGACGATTCAGAGTTTAAAAATTACCTACATTTTCCTTTTAAATGCCACCATTTCTCACATTTACATTCTCTTCATGTTGGGGGAGGGAGATAGGAGAAATATGCGAGGCATTTTATGCTGAAATTTAATGTTCGTTAGTAAAAGACATGCGGAATATGCATTGTAGATCTCAACATTGCAAAGGCGTTGGGGACAATGCATATACATACTTTTTTTTCTTTATTTCACCTGCCCGACCGCTCAGTAATAAAGACCTAGTAGCATTATATAAATATACTCGCGCTTGTCGCTGTCGAAATCTAGTAGAAATAGCCTCTAGCATCAGAGGAAATAAACTCATAAATAAATGCTATTCAGATAGATAGGAAAAAAATTCGAAATATTTTGGGGGATCGATTTC